TTTTCTGACCTCTGACGGAAAGGCCCTACTAAGTAACATGATGCAATTTCGAACTTCGCCTCATGTGCATGATGAAATTCTCGTATGCTTAAGGGTTTTGCGGACGATTCCTCTGGCTTACTAATGGTTCCTCCTTTCCTTTTTTCTGGCCCCACGAGCTCTTTGGGGTTTACCAAAACAGTGGTCTCTGTAAAAGAAATATGGGTACAATAAAATTTGAGATAAAAAGAAACAGGAAAAAAAAAAGATTTTTAATCGAGGGGGGGGGGGGGGGGGTGACCATAAATTATAACAATCTTACTTCGTCAAGATAAGCTATATTATTTAAATTCCTCCTTCTCGTATATTTCATTAAACGATACATCCATATCTTAAAAATTAAAGAGAAAAAAAGTTATTACATAAATGACCATAATGAATATCATCCAATCCGGCACCAAAAATGCAGTCTAATCCGGCACAATTTCCATTAAAATTAACCGATTCCAATCCAGCACATGTCAACATTTTTAAATCGAAATATTTTTGTAATAAAATGGGTTATAACAAATAAACATATAACACCAGGTCAGAATTACTCCAAAGTATCATTTGTTAGCCACTCTCCTGCTGCTGGATGCATAAAACTGTCAAAATCGAAGAAAAAAACAACTCCACGCCGCTTCAAACTCAATCGGAGAAATTCTGCAGTCTTCAGTCGTTAAATGTTCAAGTTTAAGAGACGATAGGAAAAGTAGCAATTAAACACACTAATAAGCATTTTACTAGGAATTCAACAGTATCTTCGGATCAAACATATCTGACGATTAACGGGGGATATTTACCGAAATCTCGGGTACCTACCTTTTTCGATTTGTTCCCGCCGCCATTTTGTTTTGTCCAATCCGGCACGGGATCACGACAGTGATTACGTACAGAGGATGTTTTCCGTTATTGCGAATTTTCCTTTTACTTTGGATCGAAATTACTTACGTGTAGATTCTGTGTGGAATAAGTTTTTAAAAAGTGATTGAGAAATTTTGACATTTTACATTCTCAGGAAAATACCGGGTATTTCTCCAAAAACATCAGCATTTACTATTTGTACGTGCTTTTGCTAAATTGAATCAGATTTATTTTTAGACCGTGCTGTATTTTAGTACAATACTGTTTACAGGGCTAATACAGAACGGAAAGTAGCTCCGCCCACCACAGTCCCGTTCTGTATTGCTAATACAGAACAGCAAACTTCAAAGAAAAACACCGCTATCGTGTCACAAAACACACATACAAGTCAATCGACAATATAGAAAATTATTTACTCGGCACTTGTAACAGGATGAAATACTATACACCAATGTCTAAACAATATTTTAAAGATCATTTTACGATCATAATGCCTTGATGTTATTACCAGTATTGAAGCATAAATCCTCCCTCTAAATCTTACCTCAAATGCCTCTGACTTGGCGCTGGAATCGTGTTGAAAGAATTAAAAAAACTTTCCCTTTATTTCTATTAAAAGTCATTAATAAGACTCTAATTTATTGATGTGGTCATTAAACTTTCCGTGAAAAGTGAATGCATATTTTAGGTCACTTTACCAATGTGTATAATGTTGCAGGAAAATATATCTTTTGAATTTGTCTATTGTAAAAAAAAGATGTGCCCGTGCCTGGTTAACTCAAATGACCATTTCCAATGAAGAAGTAACTTGAATTAAACCTTTTTTTTTGGGGCTGTGCCTTGGATTTTCTCCAAAAGACCATAGATCAAGGACCACGGCCTAATATCATGAGACATCCTCATGTGTCAAGAATAAGCTTCCCATGTTTCTTTACTTTATTTCAAAATACACGTACTATATCATAACTTTTTTTCAAAAGTCACATTAAACTCGCGTAAAATGACCTTGTTTCAAGTTTATCACGCACCGGCAAACTATGGAATCCGGATAGTATGGAATCCGGATAGGGCCACGCAGTTCAATATCGCATCATCGCACCATCGAGGTTTAAGTCGATGGTGCGATGACGCGATAATGCGATGACGATGAAGCGATGGTGCGATAACGATGAAGCGATGGTGCGATAGTGCGATGACGATGATGCGATGGCGCGATAGCGCGATGACGATGATGCGATGGTACGATGAAGCGATAATGCGATGACGCGATAGCACGATAGCGATGCTGCGATGGTGCGATAGCGATGATGCGATGGCGCGATAGTGATGATGCGATGCTATATCGTGTCTATCGCACCATCGCAGCATCGCTATCGTACCATCGCATCATCGTCATCGCACTATCGCGCCATCGCATCATCGTCATCGCACTATCGCACCATCGCTTCATCGTTATCGCACCATCGCTTCATCGTCATCGCATTATCGCGTCATCGCACCATCGACTTAAACCTCGATGGTGCGATGATGCGATAGTGAACTGCGTGGCCCTATCCGGATTCCATAGGATAGGGCCACGCAGTTCACTATCGCATCATCGCACCATCGAGGTTTGAGTCGATGGTGCGATGACGCGATAATGCGATGACGATGGAGCGATGGAGCGATAATGATGAAGCGATGGCGCGATAGCGCTATGACGATGACGCGATGGCGCGATACTGCGATGACGATGAAGCGATGGTGCGATTGAGCGATAAAGCGATGACGCGATGGCACGATAGCGATGCTGCGATGGTGCGATAGCGATGATACAATAACGCGATAACGATGAAGAGATGCTCTATCGTGTCATCATCAGTGCTCTATCGCACTATCGTCATCGCATTGTCGCACTATCGCCCTATCGACTCTTTTGCGCATGCGCCATTGAGAAGAGAAATGGCGTCAGGTTGTGAAAGTATGAACAGAATACATATCGAAAATAGATCTTACTGGGTGAATTAACTTCACTTGGCATAAAAATTAACCATGTCTTTATTGCCAGACATATAACAAGTTAGAAAATTATTAAAATACAGTTTGATAATTAAGATAAAGTTAACAATACACTCATGTTGTGAATGATGTAAAAGAAAGCGAAATCCGCGTGATCTAGATTTTGGTTTCTATACGGTGGGGGGGGGGATTAATACTGTAGATTGGGAAATAATTACGATGGTTTTACTTTCACTATGTTCACGATTCATTTTTTTTCCGCAAAATTAAACCCATCGTGAATGCTATCATTAACTATTAAAACAAGTAAATGCATATACGAAATTTAAATTAATTTCTTGCATCGTGAAATCAGGGACCTACATGTATATACTAGTATATAGGTCCCTGGTGAAATTAAACCCATCGCTATTGTACTTTCTGAGAAAGCGATTCAAATTTAAAGCAAATACAAAACAAAAGTCTTCCTCCCTCTCTCCTCTTGGTACTTCGTGTTTGTTATTTAAAATATGATCATCAAATACAAAATCAAAGTCAGTAAATTATCACTGGGCAATCAAATCTTTGCTCGAATTAACTACCTGCTGAGAATGCCAACCTATCTATATAGCCGATAGAGCGATGGTGCGATGACACGATGTCGATAGCGCGATAAAGCAATAACGATGGCACGATATAGCATCGCATCATCACTGTCGCGCCATCGCATCATCGCTATCGCACCAACGCATCCTCGCTATCGTGCCATCGCGTCATCGCATTATCGCTCCATCGCATCATCGTCGTCGCGTTATCGCGCCATCGCATCATCGTCATCGCGCTATCGCGCCATCGCTTCATCGTTATCGCACCATCGCTTCATCGTCATCGCATTATCGCGTCATCGCACCATCGACTCAAATCTCGATGGTACGATGATGCGATAGTGAACTGCGTGGCCCTATCCGGATTCCATAGCAAACACTGGTCATTAGAAATTTGCGGGTATCAATTACATGTATATTCACTTGTAAAATGTTTTTCCATTAGCGAATCATGTTCATGTATCAGACAGAAATTATATGATTCTGAAAGTAGCTTAATACAAAGTACTGACCCAGGGTTAGGGTTAAGAAATATTCTCAAGTTATAAGCAATCTTTGTCAAGTTTGTACTGGGTCCCATGTTCCCTCATTAAGAAGCTATTGAAACGAATTTTTACCCTTTTCCTACTAGAGACCCTGATTTTGCTCTAATTACATTGGTTGAAGATGAAGGTAATAAACTTGTAATCACTCTGTCAAGTACGAGTTCCCAAAGTTTCGATCTCCATCACAAGTCGTGATAGGACAGACATTTTTATTGTCACAAGAAATACACCTCTGAAATATGAAAGTCCTCCCATCAAATGTTCAAAAATTATGACCAAGGTTCAAGTTTTTCAAAAGTATGTCAATTTGTAAGGTTGAGGTCAACGGGTCAAAATTGTTGGTACCAATGCAAGGGTTGGTCTTGTCACAAGGAATACACCTATGAAATATCAAAACCTTAGCACAAACCATTTAGAAGTTATGACCTAGGTTAAAGTAAATGTTTGTCAAAACTAACCAAACTCCAAAGTCAAGTTCAGATGACAAAATAAAATTGTACTAAAAAGGTCAAAGAAGGGTCTTATCACAAGAAATTTGCTAGTGAAACATAGAAATCCTAGCAGCAGCCATTTAAAAGTTTATGGCCATGATATTTTTAAATATCATAAAGTTATATATGTACGTAAAATTTTGCATAAATACAGTGAAGGTCAAACTCCAAGGTAAGGGTCAACTGGTAAAATATTTTGGTACTTGAAAAATATTTTAAATTGATGAATACACCTGTAAACAAAAACGCCATAGCTCCAGCCAATTAAAGTTATGTGTAAGGTTGAATTTTTCGCGGACAAGCAGACAGATGGACAGAGAGATTAATTTCAATATTTGTACATGCAATGCAATGTGCTACCCAGATTTCATGCCTTTGATTACATTTGTATTACCGGTACTAATAGTGGCCACTTATGATTGCAATTATATAATTTATACCCACAAAACATAAAATATCAAAATTCTATCATTAATTAATTTAGACCTATAAATGAATTATTTCATTGTACGCATCTTTTTATTATTAAATACAATAAAAATATACATTGTAATTATCGACCAAAATAAACCAAATAGTAGTACTGGTGAGCTAGTAGACATTCTGAGATCGTTCTTTACAAATTCTCATACACACAGTTCCTCAGTCAGTGGAATCCAGCGTACCCCAACAACCCCTGACCTCCAAAGAATACAAGTCAAAATAAATTTTATCTTTGTTGTAGTGTACAACTCTCCCACAAACTGTCAAAAAAGATGGTGAACTCTAGAGACGGTTACGGGTATGATGTGAGAGAACGCCGATGAAAGCATGGAATCTGCTCGTGACTAAGTAAGGGTTTGGGGTATACATGTCCAACCTTTAATCTGAATTAATCCCGAGGTCGGATGGCGGCGGTGTCACGTTATATCTCAAGGAGGGGGAGGGAGAAATCAACCTTATCGGGAATATCAGTCGAACACACGGTTCAGGCTTCCGGAACATTTTGATCCGTCAGAATGGACACCTGTAATCCTTTTTTATAATCACAACTGGAAAGATCATTCCAAGGTTTCTTCTATAGATTCGTCGTTATAGTAACAGGTCTTTTCGCGAATCAACGCCTCGTCTGCACCCCGATCAACACAAAGAAGTATGGCGGCTATGAGGACTAAAACGGCCGACAAGACAGCCATTATATAAGACCAGCCGACCACCCACCCTGCACCATTCAGTTCCTCATTGAATTTTACAGGAAAAATAATCACCGCAATTAATTCAGGGATTACTGTAAGAAAAAGAAAGCGGTTCATAAAATCGACAGAATAAGTAAAGATAACTTTTATTCATTTAGGCTGATGTCACAAAACACAATGGTATCGTAAACATTGTAAACGTAGATTGCTGAAGTATTTACATCCAATCTATATACCAATATATACAACATATATAAACTGTTACTACTGATTCTAAGTATAAGCAGTATTGCATTCTTACCAGCTAAAAATAGCAGAACTATGGCGATGTTATAGTATTTATACTTCATTCCAAAGTTAATACTCTGTATTCCATATGTAGTCATGGCGAGACCGATGAAGGTCATCACGAAGGCGATACAGACCAGAATCCGACAGGCATCTAACCAACCTAAAATAAAGATGTGGAACATAGGTGAAAATTTTATACGGAAGATGTAACATCCATCTTAAATGGTTTTGTCTACACATTTTCATCTTAATGAAAACAGTCTTAGGCCTTGTAAAATTAAAAGGATCCAATTGATAAGAAACCTTATTTTCGGATAAAGCACGACGTACAGGCAAGCAGACAGTTTTCATTCCTATATACCATTTACATACACAAGTTCGAAGAATTATATTAAATAAGATTTCACAGATTTCTAACCAAAGATTGGGGGAAATTAAGAGTTAATGAATTTATTGATCCCAACCATACTATATATAAAAACTATTTCTAAAAAAAAAAAAAGGTAACTCATATCTGCTTGGTAATTAATCAATGTAGCTGAAGCATTACTCATTTTTGTTTGTCATTAAAAAATATATTCAATTTTATGTTTTAATACAGTTCATAATTCATCAAAAGACCTTTGAAAACTGCTCTCTGATTACATCCATAAATTTGCAATGTTTAAGAAGTACATATTTTAAACAAAAATTCTTTTGCATACGTATGGAATGCCATATACGACAGCCAACTGCTTACTGCCAACTGCTGACTGCTTACTGCCAACTGTCAGCTGCTTACTGCCAACTGCCACACATATTTGAATAAATTATATATTTTTATTGATATTTATATGAATTTTCACAAAAAAGGGGAAAAAAGGCACGGATCCAGGACATTTTTTTCATACGAAAATTGTTTTTTTTTTATCTTATGTAATATTCAATATATGCGGTTTTACATTGTTTATTTTTTTTAATTTGTTTTTTTTGAAATAGGTATAAAATCTATTTTCTCCTTTTAATCTTTAAAGTTTGAAGAGAGAATAATAATAAAAAAGATTTGTCTCGATAGAAAGATTCTTTTCCATTATATTCTATAGTTAATAAAGATATCTCTGTGTGTCGAATATGGGGGGGGGGGCAGCCAGAGAAATCTTTTTTACTTACCTGAAAAAGTTGACAAGCCAAAAAAAAAAAAAGAAAATAGCCCAAACTCGAAAGTCCTATTTCGTGGTGGTGGTGGTGGTGGTGGTGGGGGGGGGGGGGGGGGAGGTGGGTAACTTTTTTTCTAAGGCCAAGTACCTTTCACTTACATTTTTTCCCACCCAATACTACATATCCTTGATATCATTATACTATGGTAAGAAGTGGGGGGGGGGGGGCAACTTAATTTACATTTTCAATAGTAAAGGCAGTGTTGGCAAAAAAAGTGGGGAGGCTACGTCCGTAAGCCAGCTGCTGATGTGTGTTCATAAATCCTTACAAAGTCATACACATGTCACATTTAGGAAAGGACTTTAGTCATTTTTTTCTTGTCATTTCTGGTAACCAGAGTGACCCTTTTGGAAAAAATGTCCTATAGATCCGCGATAAATATCAATATAAAAATAAAATTTATTCAAATATATGTGGCAGTAAAAACAGTCAAGTACTGGCTGTCGTATATGGATAACATTGTTGTAGTTTAACCTGCCGACCTGCTGATGTTGTTCCCTTACAAAGTCTAAATGTCTGTAGAGAAAACATTGTTGTAGTTTAACCTGACCTGCTGATGTTTGTCTAAATGTCTGTAGAGAAATCAGAATGATACACCGTACGGCCAAAGATCCCACACAACAACGCGAGACATAATGTTTACTGAAAAAGCACTAATCAAAGGAAACCCAATCTAGAACTGATAATACAGATTTTCTTATTCCTGCAATCTTTTGATATCGCTGATAATGATAATTTAAAGATGGCGAGAATAATGAAAGTAAATATAGGTCATTAGGAAATGTTGAGTATTCGGCAATTAGGCAATGAAGGTGATGTTTTTGATTATTATGAAGAAGGAGTCTTTTTGTCAGACAGCGACACATGTGTTTGTCATCGCCAGAATTCCAAAGATATTCTCCAGAATGCATCTATATTTCGACACATTATACAGAGTGCCAAAAACTCGGTAATTTTTTAACGGTTAGACTTTCACTGTTTGTTTTTATTATAATACGCATGCCTTTTTGGAGTTTTCTTTTTGAAAAGTACCCCTCCTTCTAAGCACCAAGAAGAATTTGCAAATTGTATGGCCGTCACTGACAATAAAGTATAAGCAAGCAAAATGAAGCAGCGTGGACTTGCACACTTTTCGTCCCTCTCAGCTGCTGAGGTTTTATTATAATTAATCAATCAATTTTATTTCCTAATTTTTAAAAACTTAACATACCTTCTAAATGAACCGTACATGTAATATGGCATATGTTTTACTCATGCTCGGAACAAGATTCTTCAGCTAAGAACATTA